CTATTTGGGATTGTTCATCTATTAATATCGGATCCCGAAAAGAAGAAAGACTGTCTGCCTTTTTTGGGGACCAGAACTGAGTAGGTTATAACCTTTTTCTACTGTCTTCTTTTGTTTTTGCTTTCTTTTTTGACATATTAATACTTTCAACCTTCTCTCTCTTTCTCTCTGCACCCATCCCTACCTTACATATCATCCTCATTTGATCCCTACACACTGAGAGTTTGCTGGGATCTCTTTTCCGATTATTATCCGGAGAATTGACCACCAGACGGTCAGAGAGCCAAAGGAAAAAAGAGAGTTGCAGAGTGAGTTCGAAAGAGTTTGAATTGAATTGGTCGTGGTTTATTTATTTTATTTTGTTTTTGGAATATTCGTTTAGGGCGGGTAGAGAGGAAATCTTTCTTTCGAAGTCCATTGTTGTTTCATGGCTCGTGCTGCCAAACCAACATCCACCCGGCCACTCCCCCCCCCACACCTCCAACTGTACTACTACTGCTTGCTCTCTGCTGCTGCTGCTGCTGCTGCTGCTGCTGCTGCTCTTGCTTCTCCGACTCTTTCCCGTCTCTTTGCATTTCCTCTTCCCTCCCTCTCTCACTCTCTTTTTGCACTTTCCGTCTCCCTCTCCGTCTCCCTCGCGCTCCCTCGCGCTCCCTCTCTTTTTCCCCGTCCCGGGTTTTGTCGTCGCCCGTTGTCGTGGTGGTGTCGAGTCGTGTCTGATCGACTCTCTCCGCACCGACAGTTACTCACTCACTCACTCATTCACTCATCAATATCTCTTTCTTGTCTGTTCTTCCTTTTCTTCACCTACACGTCTTCTACTTGTCCAAAAACTGGTGGTGTGTTCTCTCTTTCCCATCCTTTCCCTCCCAATCAATCAATTCCCTGCTGCTTGTTCGCTGTTTGGTCTTTCTTGGTGGTTTTTCTTTTCTTTTCTTTTTTCCCTGTTCCCCCCTCCACTACCACCCACCACCACCACCAACCACTACTGCAATTTCCTCCCTCCCACTCTTCCCTTCCACTACTATTCTTATCGTCTTTCCCGCTTGGTCCCTTTCGCCCGTCTTTCCCGATTGCGCTTTTCTGCAGCTCTTATCTGGCCCGGGCTTCGACTCTCTCTCTCTCTCTCTCTCGACTCGCACTAGTTCTTTCTGGTCGTTTTATTTTCTTTTATTATAATTCTTTATTAATCACTTGAATCCGTCAGATTGCCCTGTTTCTGCCCGGTCTGCCCCTCGTGGGCCCTGCCAATAGCACTCGCCCCCTCCCCCAAATCCCACACCCAGATCCGGTCACGATGTCTGGGTTGAGTGGTGTGCGACCGACGCAATCCGCGGCATTTGCCTCGACCTTACATTCCGCCGACCCCGACCGCCGCTCCTCCACCACCACCACCACCTCTAACAACTATCGTTTCCCTCATCCTCCTCCCTCGTCCTCTCAACTTTCCGACGATCTCTCCTTCGATTCTCCTATCTCGCCTGCCGATTCCTCTCAGGCTCAGGACGGTTTACTCCACGACTCGCTGTTTCCCGAGTGGAAGTCCCCCCGAGAGAGTAACGACTGTCCGGATGAGATGCAAAGGAATGACCCTTTAGCAACTCAGATATGGAAGCTCTATTCTAGGACTAAGGCTCAACTCCCCAACCAGGAGCGTATGGAGAACTTGACCTGGCGCATGATGGCGATGAGTCTGAGACGCAAGGAACGGGAACGCGTTGAGCAGTCTAGGTAGGTGGCGTCCGCATCACCGCCTCTCCCCCCCACGGTCGCTCTTGCGGCAATGATCGCTCACATATTTCTTCCCTATGCCAGCCTGTCGACGAGACACAGCATTTCGGGTCCGAGTGGGATCGCCCAGCTACGTCTGGCCGACCGGACGCCAGTCGCCTCGCACCAACCCTCCACTACCGACCTGGCCGCGGATCCCATGAACCTCGACGATTTCATTGTTCCCTTCGAATCTCCTTCCGATCACCCCTCTCCTGTCACAACCAAGGGCGAGACAAACTCGGCTGCTATTCCGATCAAATCCACTCGAAAGGAACATCTGGTGGAGCCAACCCCCGTGCCCGCCTCGTTTACCCACCCTCCTCAAGACCAGCGGAAGAACAGCGAATTTGGCTACGTGCCTCGTCGGGTCCGCAAGACTAGTATTGACGAGCGCCAGTTTTTTGGTCTCCAGGTTCCCACCCGCAAGCGACCGGCCGAAGCGTCCCCGCAAGTGCCACCCCTGTCGAACGCGATGTTGGCCCACCATGACCCCGACCTGGCAGGTGCTGTGCCCGACTACACACTGGATGCGTCGTCGGCGTTCGGATTGCACCACGGCAACCACCAGCCCGCTCACCCCTCCAACCACACTTCTCCCAATGTGCCGTTTGGCTTGGATACGTTCAACCTGGGCGATGATCCGATTCTGACCTCGGCGGGTCCCTACCAGACCAATTTCACGTTTTCGCCCAGCGATTCGCCCATGACGTCAGGAAACCCGTTTGCCAATTTGTATGCTCACACACCCGTCGCCTCGTCCTTGAACTCGACCGATTTCTTCTCCCCTCCGCCTTCAGGGTACCAGTCGACGGCCTCGACGCCGCAGCCGGCCTATGATGGCGAGCATAACCTGTATTTTGACATGCCGTCGATTGATGCGCGTACGCAGCGGCGGGTTCCCAACTACGTCACGCATCGCACGTCGAACCTGTCGGCATCGTTGCAGCCACGTTACATGTACAACCAGGACCAGTCCCACCACGCCAGCAACCCTCCTTCCTCGATGCACTCTCCCGGCTACCCTATTCCCCAGCCGCAGCACGTGGATCCGACGCAGGTTCTGGGCGACTTTGGCACGGGCGCTTCCCACGCAGCCATGTTCAGCTTTGGGGCTGATTCGGACAACGAGGATGACGATGGCAACCAATTTTCCGACCGCGCCGGATTGGCCATGCCCAACGACTTGGCTGATGAGTCTGCGGACCTCAATGCAGGGATGCAGTGGGATGGTCAATTTCCGGGCTCGTTCCACTCGCTGCCTGGCTTTGCGGCTCAGCATCGTAAGCATGTGACTATCGGGTCGGCGGACATGATGGATACTCCGAGTGAGTGGAACCAAGGCGGCAGTCTGGGCCGGACGCACGGATCGGCCGCCTCGGTCAGTGAGGTCCGCAATCGGGAGCAGGATCCCCGTCGGCAGAAGATTGCACGCACGACCTCCACCCCGAACACTTCTCAGCTGTTACGTCAAAGCATGAGCGCCAATAATACCTCTCATACGTCCCCCAACACCCCGCCCGAGTCTGGTTTGAGCAGTGCCGTTCCCTCCCGTCCGGCCAGCCCCGGAGGCTCCAAGAACGGTGAGAGCAGCGGGCCGACTACCTGCACGAACTGTTTCACTCAAACAACTCCCTTGTGGCGTCGCAACCCGGAAGGGCAGCCTCTGTGTAACGCCTGTGGCTTGTTCCTAAAGTTGCATGGTGTGGTGCGGCCCCTGTCACTCAAGACGGACGTGATCAAGAAGCGCAACCGCAGCAGTGCCAACAGTCTGGCGGTCGGTGCGTCGCGGTCGTCGAAGAAGTCAGCGCGCAAGAACTCGGTGCAACAGGCGAGTGTGACCACGCCCACCTCGAGCCGGGCTCAGAGTGGCACGACCTCGTCGGAGTCCCCGCCTGCAATGCCCGGGGGTCCGCCGTCCTCCAGCCGTGCTGCGGGAGTGGTGCCTATTGCGGCTGCGCCTCCGAAGTCCACCCCGACAACATCCTCCCCTGGTCAGGCTCGCACTTCGGTTCAAGTGGCGCCTAAACGTCAGCGTCGGCTGGAAAAAGCCACGGACGTGGACGCTATGGATGATTCCAACAAACCGAGTCTCTCGTCGGCGGGTCGTTCGAAGGTGGTGCCATTGGCCCCGGCCATGCCCCCTGCTGCCGCCAACCCTGTCAACCATAGTATCGCTGGTGGACAGGGAGCGAGTCAAGAGTGGGAATGGCTGACGATGAGTCTGTGAGGGCAGCTCATCACTTGCCCTTTTTTTTCTTTTTTTCTCTTACCTTAATCTCGATAATCGTCGACTTTTGATACATCTCATCGTCGACCACCCTATCAACACTCCTTCAAAACCCTTACCATGATATAGACATGATGCCCACGTCGACTCCAGTCTCCGCCGAATCCAAGCCGATTGCATATTCTCGCTAGCCGAGTGGATGCGCAGTGCGGCTGTTTCTAATGAACTCTTTCTTGAGTCGACACGTGGAATTTCCCTTATCTCTTTTCGGGGGATGGCCAGAAGTAACAGAATAATGGCGTGATGTTTGTTATCGGGCGAAAGGTGAAAAGATCCGGACGATGATGACCCTCGCTCTTCTCTTTTTCTCTCCAAGGGCGGAAATATCAGCTTGATGTCGTCTTTGTTGTGAACTTTGTGTGTGTGATTTGTTTTATCTTGCTTGATACAATCGCGTCTGTCTCGGCTCCCAGTCTCTTGTTTTGTTTTGCTTTTTTCGTTTATGATTTGGTTCTATTCATTGAGACTTGGGACCGGGCAGAAGTGCGCATCTCATTGTTTGGTTTTTGACCTTTTTTATATGCGGATAGAGTTTCATGGATGAGTTTATGCTTTATGTGTATGTCGATGGCTTCTTTTTATGGTTTTGTTAGTGGGTTAAGTGGAATTCGAGATTCATGATTATGGTATTGTTTTTGTTTGGTGGGATAAGGTAGTAGATCTGTAGGTCTGATTGTGGTCCAGGGTGGTAGCAGGGGTTCAGGTAAGAATATTAGTTGTATTGGTTTGCAGTCTAATGTCCAGTCTAATCTCGCGACTGCTAAAGGCACCATCCTCGCCTGGAGGATACTCGGGATCCATGATCTCCCATCCACACTCGAAACCGAGTCAGTCTACCGCATCATCACGACTGCCGATTCCTCTCGTCTTGGCTTCACGACTCCGTCCAAACCGAGCCCAGAAATCCAAGGCGAAGACATGGATGGCAACGACCCATTACCCCCAATCTCACACCTTCACTCTAGAAAGTCCAGTTTCCAACCCCGTCAGTCCTAAGTCACCTTTACGAAACATCAATCCCCTCCCGCCTCGACGCCCATCGCACGAGCCAGCCCCATCGTATGCGCCACCATGCCGACGAGCACGAGCACATGCCAGAAGGCATGGGACGACCACAGCATGAAGACCTTACTGTGCGGGTACCATCGTTCGGGGGTTTTATTCTTTTGGTGGGGGTTCATTTTAGCCTTTTTGCTTATGTGCGTGCTCTCCACGGCATTCTTTTTGGGTATGTATATAGGGGTGGATATACAAGTTTTGCGCAGGAGGGGGAAAACTAACCAGATACACCACGGCGCCGAGGATCAACGCCATCCCCTCGAGGGCATACCACCCCACGCCGACGGCGAGGAGGTAGCGGGCGTCGTGCAGGAGGTACAGGTGGGTGATCGGGATGAGGGCGCTCAGGCCGGTGAAGATGAGGGCGGTGACGCGGAGGGTGCGGTGGGGGTCGTTTCGGTGGGGATTGTTTAATGTGCTGGTGACTGTGGTGGTAGCTGTGGTGGTGGTTGTACTGTCGAGTGTGCTATTGACTATGTTGTCGACTGAACAAGTGGCCGTAGGTATACGTGACGATGAAGCCGCCGCCGCCGCCGCCGCAGCAGGATGAAGATGCAGACCCAGCGAAGGGAGGGTGAGGAGGAAGGTCTGTAATCTCATCCCCGTCGTCATCACCATGATCACATTCAGTATCGCTAGCAATTGTGCTCATCCGCTCCGCTCCGGCATAACTCTCAATGTCTGGTAGGGTAGGTGAAGAGGGGCCCTCAACTCACGATAGCAATATAAACATCCCGCCACCACCTTCTCGCCTCCTCCCCTCCTTCCACCCCGTGGGCCCCCACAAACGCATAATGCAACCCCGTCACAAAGTTGCTGACCAGCAGCCCCAGGATCCCGCAGTAGTCCGCTTTCAGCGCGTAGGCCGAGTGCCCGTTGTTGGCGTGGTAGGCCGCCGATAGTAGTAGGCACGCGGTGGAGCTGAGGATGTGCAGGCGCGGTAGGTCGGGGGCGAGGACGGCGAGCGTCGGGAAGCACAGCGCCGGGAGCAGGTGCGTGTAGATGTTGAAGGTCTCGTGGTGGAGGGTCGTGTAGGTGGCTCGGTGGAGCCAGGTGGTTTGCTTGGGGAGGGTGTAGTTGGTTTCGGGATGGGGGGGTGTTTGTTCTGGGGACTGGGGGAGGGTGGTGGTTGTGGTGGTGGTTGAGTCATGGTGTCGGTGGTGGAGGACTTGGGATTGCATTCTTGTGGATTCGGTTTCTGGGGATGTTTGTGGATATGGATATTTTAGGGATGAGGGGGAGAGGGGGTTGAGGTAGAGTAGAAGGTGGTTGTAGGATGTTGAGGGTGTTGATGATGGGGTTCGTTGTGTGGTCTTGTTCGGGGGGTTTTGTCGGGTGGTTCGGGCTGGTGAGGGTAGGGTAGGGTAGGGTAGGTGCTACTCGTGTCACCATTGGGGTTGCATGCTTTCCTTTGGGGGGGAAAGGGGTGTTTGTATGGGTGTTGAATGTGATGGGTTTTAATTTGGGTGAGCATTTGATTATCATAGTGTAATTGAGTTTGTGTGCAGGCAACCGAAAGGAGTTCTTGCTCTAAGGTATCGGCTATGGCAGGACGAGATGGACTTATGGATCTACAGGGTGTCTATACAAGACACGCACTTTTTAATAATGGTCTACAGGACATGTTACACCTCACCATGTCCAATTGCAATGGCTACTAGATGGTGTCTATACTCCCGCCAACCAATCACGATGCAACAAAGTGCAACTCACATGACCTCACGTGACGGTATAAAAATTCCACGGCCAGTCGCAATCCAGCAAGACAACGACAACCAGCACATCTCAATCCCTGAACACGCCGTACGGAGTCGAATAAAATCACATCCTCGGTAGCCCCCTCATAAACCGACACAATGGGCTCCAGCTCCAAGAAAAAGAAGGAGAAACAGAAGGATTTCCAAGTACACCTCCCCCACCCCCACCCCCCCGGCCTTTTCCCATGCACCCGATCATCCATACTAACGGCGACCCCCTAGAAAGCCAAACTCAAAGTCGGCAAAACCAAAGCCAAACCCGACAACTTCACCGACACCAGCTTCAAAGCGAAGAGTACTCACCCCTTTTCCCCCCGGAACTCTCAATTCTGTTCTGCATGATACTAACCAAGAAAACAGGCATAACCCTAACCCAACAATCCCTGACGCTAACCGCGCCCACAACCACCACCCAATTCACGCACCACGTCTCCCTGCTGGGCTCGAAATCCGACGCCCAGCGCCGCGACTCCCTCGCCCACCTGACGACGCACCTCACCAACAGCCGCCCCACTGCGGGGGGAAGTCTCCCGCAGCCCGTGAGTACCCTCCTCCCGACCCTGTCCCCGCTCATCCTGGACGGCAACACCGGCGTGCGCACCCAGCTCCTCAAGCTCCTCCGCGCCCTGCCCCCGCGCGACGTCGAGGACCACGTCGCCCAGCTCCTCCCCTTCATCCGCGCCGGCATGACCCACCTGGCCGCCGAGATCCGGGTCACCGCCGTCGAGGTGCTGGCGTGGCTGGTCGAGATCGCCGGCCGCGAGGTCGTCGGCTGCGCCGGCGGCTGGATCAAGACCCTCAATTGCTTCCTGAGCGTGCTGGGCTGGCACACCGAGGAGTCGTCCAAGTGGTCGGCCTCGCGGGCGGCCTTCGGGAAGTCCGGGAGTGCCGGGCGGCCCATGGTCAAGGTGCTGGGCGTGTTGGCTGAGTTTTTGGAGGCTGGGATCGGGGCGGGTGAGGAGGGGGAGGGGGAGGATGTCGTGATGGAGGAGGGTGTCGGGGCTGCTGGTGCTGCGGTTGGGAACTGGGAGTTCCCGTTGGCGCAGGTGGAGGCGCATATGCTTCCCGAAACGGCGCAGCCCTATGTCTATCTGAATCTGTTTGGGCAGCCTCGGGATGAGGAAGGCGAGATGTATGAGACCCGCGAGGATCGGTTCCGGGTGTTTGCGGCACGGTTCTTGAAGGCTGTCGAGCGCGGGGTGGAGAGTGCCAGGCAGGATGGCGGTGAGGTTGGTCGCGCGTCGTCGGCGGTCAGTAAGGTGTTGAAGGAGGCGCTGGGGTATGCGAGGGGTGCTGGGTTGGAGGTTTGAAGTCTTTTTCTGCTTCTTATTATGTTGTTGTTCATAGGACAGGCGTTTCTTGCGGATTGTAAAAAATGGATTTGTTTGGCTTTCTTTCTCATAGACTTGTGGGTCATAATAGGAGAGTTGGAATGATGTACTGCACTGTACTCTGGCTGCCTCGGGACTAACTACACTTTCATCTTCTCCTGTTCGTGCAACGCCTCGTCCGAGCCAGCCGATACTCCCTCCACGGGTTCCCGCGCCTCGTAGATCTCTTCCGCCATCACAGCCCTATCAATCAGAGACTCGCGCGCCGGGAACAAGAAGGACAGCCCCACGTACACAATGCTGGTGGCCACAAACCCCAGCAGCCATCCGAACTGATACGGATGGACCCCCACCCCGACCGAAATGCTACTGTTCACAGAACTGATCAACCCCGGAAGACTCGGGACCACCCCCACCAGAAACCCGACAATCGCGCGCCAATTGACTCCCCATGTGTACCGGTAGATCGGGTTGTGTGGCTGGTATAATGCCAGAGTGTCATACTTGCCGCGTTTCAGCACCCAGAAGTCCCACAGCATGATCGCTGCAATCGGCCCCAGGAAGATCGCATATGCCGACATGAAGTTCATAAAGTTGCCCGCCGACTCGAGGATCTTCCACGGCACCAGCGCCCAGGATAGCAACCCACAGATGATCTGGCCCCGCCGGAGGTTGACATGCTCCGGAAACAGGGCCATCAGGTCATTCGCCGCGGAGATGGAGTTGGCAGAGATGTTGACGCCCAGGGAAGCCAGCAGAAACGAGAATGCTGCGAAGAACCGACACGCTCGGCTGGACCAGTGGCTGATCAACTCGATCGGATCCCAGGGGATCGTGCCACCATAACGGGCCTGACCCGCCGATGAAGCGGCAATGCCAATGAAGGAAATGAAGGTAAAGATGATCGGCAGCATTGGCACGTACAGCAGCTGCCATTTGGGGGTGACACGCGAGTATCGAGAGAAATCAGACTGCTTCTCGTTAGACACTTTTCGCAGTTCATTATCGTCATGGAAAGCATACCTGATTGACGCTCAGAGTGGCGTAGTTCCCCAGAACCGCGGTCATGCTTGACAAGAATACCCAGCTGTACTGTGAACCAGAGACCGTCGGCTTCTGTGCAAACATATCCCCTCCACCCTCGGCAACAAACGCCCAGATCAGGATCGCAATCCAGGCGATCGGAACAATGATCGACTTGGCCACGAACAACCATCGCACTTTGTTCGGGTGGATGCAGAGAAACGGCAGCTGAATGAGCCAGAAGATAAAGTAGCTCACCATGCCGTTTGTCGTGATGCCCTGATCCTCGGGAATGCCGTTCTTCAGCCTCAAGAAACTGGGCCAAATAGCGCCAATCATGACCCGCACCGCATTACCGCCGTTGACGTTCTGGATGGCGAACCAGAAGAGCGCCAGGATGACTCGGGAGATGATAGCGACATATGATCCCCAGAAGCCCCAGCTGGCTCGCGCGATCACCGGGAAGGGAACATGATAGATCGCACCCACCGCTCCATTTCCGGCAATGACAAATGACATAATGAAAAATGATATGGCGACAATGGCTAGCGACTCCCGCCAGCTGAGACCGACAGCAATGATGCTACTAGCAAACTGCCATGTGGCTGCATTGAAAGCATCAGAAATCCAGTAAGCTAACTCTAGTCAGCTGGAGTACACAAAAGTTGATGTAGGATAGTCCTACAGATGAAACTGAGAGGGCCCCATTTGCGGCGATGCAGGGGCACCGGGTCGAGGTCGAGGTTTGTCCACCGAGAATTGCCCTCTGCAAAAGCAGATCTCGACTGGGCCACATGAAGGTGAGGCCGATCAAACTTCATATCTATCGATATTTGTCATTCGTCATGGACTGGGATGCTGAGGAGGTGTCGTTCCCGGTCGAGAGATGGGTGCACAAAACGAATGGTACTGGACCCAACGTAAGGGATAATAAGATTGTCGCACAGCTCCAGTGGAGAAGCAACTGCATGTAGCCCGGCGATCGACTATAATACCCTGCAGGCTCCCATTGATGATCGATGGCCCAGGGTCAGATAAGCAAGATAAGCACCCCTGCTGGATGATAGCTGTGGCGACCCACGATTGGATGCCACATGCGATCAGACAGTTACAGGCCGATAAGAAGGTCGGAGGACGGAGGGCTCCAGTAGGTGTCAGCTCTTTCGAAATGAAGTTGGGCTGATTTAAAGCTCTTTGTCGTGTGCTGGTTTAGAAATAAACTCCAACTTCGCCCGCTTTGAGCATCTGGATCGATCCATGGGTGGCACTCGGATAATATGAGCTTAATGATTGGCTCTCATTGGTAGGGACCATCGTCAAATCTTGCATTCAATGATAACTTATTCGATAAAGGTGAGTAAGACATTGGAGGGCGTGTTGTCGAAGTAACACACGAATGTCACCATTTTTCCGCGTGCATCACGGAGGCGAGTTGGACGGTCGAGGCTTGGCAAAACAACAAGAGATTTGATGAAGGTAGTGAAAACCATCTGTCATCCCTCCCTATCGACTGCAGGCAGTCAACCCATGGCACGAAGCATTGTATGGTGTAGTGTAGCTGATAGATAACGGAAAGGATCTCCGAGATGAGAGAATGGAAGAGGGGAAGGAATATGAGGTGGATCGCGTGGGGTGGAAAGTAGATTGTCATCAAGCGGGGTCACTCCTCTTCTTGCCTTCGCTCCTCTCTCTCTCTCTCTCTCTCTCTCCTTCAGCCCAAACCATTTCTTCATCGCAGCCGTTTCTCATTTACCATAATCGCTACAGCTAAGTTGCTCACACAATGACTTTCAGCATTTCTGAGGCTAGATCTCGCTTTCCTGCTCTGAACCAGGAACAGGTCTTCCTCGACAATGCCGGAGGCAGCCAGGCTTTGGACTCGGTCATTGAATCGTAGGTGATCTCGAAACACCGTGGGATGAACACATTCTCATTTGACTCTAATGCAGTATTTCGACCTACCTCTCGAGCACCAACGTTCAATTAGGCGCCACCTACACAATAGCCAAAGCGTCAACTGCCGCCTACGGTCACGGCTACGAAGCAGCAGCTAAGTTCATCAACGCAAAGCCTGAGGAGGTACGAGGCATCGACTTCAGTCTAGATCAACTCTGATGGAGCTCTCCCTAGATCTGCCTGGGAGTTTCGACCACGCAGCTCCTTCACAATCTATCAACCGCCCTTGACTTTCAGCCCGGAGACGAACTTATTATCTCGAAACTTAACCACGAAGCCAATTCCGCTGCTTGGGATAGAATCGCCACACGCCTGGGGCTGACAGTGAAATGGTGGTCGGCTTCCGACCGTCAGAATCCCATCTGTGACCCTGAGGAGCTGAAAGCGTTGCTCTCCAACAAGACAAGGCTCGTGGCGTTTCCACACGCCTCGAACATCACCGGCACCATCAGCGACGTCAAGCAGATCACCACATTAGTGCATCAGTATCCCCGAGTATGAGTTTCGTGACACCATGTTGGGGCTACAATCTCACGTCTGCTAGGCCCTAGTGTGCGTCGACGGTGTCGCACTCGCCCCACACCGACAAGTTGATGTTAAAGACCTTGACGTTGACTTTTACGTGAGTGCGAAGCTCATGGATGGCACATCAGCATATGCTGACAAGGACAGGCTTTCTCGTGGTACAAAGTCTACGGTCCTCATATGGCCCAACTCTACGCTGCATCGCGGATCCATGACCAGATCAGCCCTCTGTGCCACTATTTCAAGTCCACACAAACACTCGATCTAAAGCTCAATCTCGCCTCGGCAAATTACGAGCTGACGCAAAGCATCCCTCGCGTTCTCGAGTACTTCGGTTCTGATTTCTCTGCAGCGTGGGATCAGATCGCTACCTTTGAGGAGAAGCTACAGAAGATCCTTTTGGACTATCTGAACGAAGAGGGACGTATCACAATCTATGGAGAACCGTCAGCAAGCAAGGAGCTTCGGGTTCCTGTCATCAGTTTTGTGGTGAGGGGGATCAAGAGTCAGGCTTTTGTGGAGGAGGTTGAGAAGCGATCGCCGTTTGGCTTCCGAAGTGGGCATATGTATAGTCACCGTCTGGTCAAGGATATCATTGGCTTGGATGACATCGAGGATGGTGTCGTGCGGATCAGTATGCTGCACTATAATACGGGTAAGCATCGAGTTGTTACAGAGATCGAGCAATCTGCTGACCTGAGATAGAGGACGAAATTAATTCGCTTGTGAAGGTGTTGCGGGAAGTCGTTGCCGCGAAATAAGCCGCCATAGCCTGTCATCTCCCATCGAAGTTCTAGGCTGATGTTAGTCATAAGTCGATCCAAATAGACTGGAATCATCTTCTTTGAACCAAACATGTCGCTTTCAAGCCAGAGCTTTGTATGTTCGAATGACTGCTGAACCTAAGATGCGCAAACAGCAAACTCGCAACACAGACCGGACGTAGACAGCAGGTAACCTAACTATACTATCTTAGCTAATTGTGACTAGGGCTTTCAAGTATACTAGTCTCTTATACTACATCTCGTTCACGTAGCCAAACCTTCCAGTCTCAGGAAATCACTCCCGCGAGCTTCATAGGGTTAACATCGTTCCCGTCAATGTAGGCCCAACCTAGATTCTGGTTGGCATGAAACGCAAATGTGTACTACATTCACGGATATTGATTTCCAGTCAGCCGGAAAAATTGACTGATTAGGCATTGACAAGATAGAATATCCTATCCGCACATGGGGCTGTTCGATGAGCGCCAAAATACCGATGCTGTCGCTTTGGGTGTGATTTGCTCGCAAGGAATCATTCCTGTCGTCGCCCCTCGTTCGCCTTACCTGGGTGAGCGCCGTCCGTTGCATTCAGGCGTTTGTCTGGCATCTATGCGAGCCCCAGAGCGTTTCTCCTGTGCGTCATCTACGAATTACCATTCAACCTCAAATTAATCCCACTCGACTTGTTCACGACAACCGAGTACAAGTTTAGGGGACCGTGTGCCTTGCCTTTCCGTCCCATCTAGAGACAAAGCTAACCTCTTGCTACAGCTTGAGTGTCGCAGCCATCACTTTTTGTTTGCCATTGCTACTAGACCTCTTCGCATTTGGTTGCAATGGTATTGCTGACTATCTCATACCCACTCTTCTCGTCCGGCCAATCGATTGGGCAAATGTGAAAGCAGATACGGGATTTCATGGTCTTAGCATAGGCAACTCATCAACGCAGAGAGTATCACCATCGCTTACCATGTCTTTGGCCTCTTCTTGTGAAATACTTCCGGTAAAAGAAGTCCACGGTACTAATAGGAGAACAATGGCCGCCTGCCACTGTATTACTTCAATGGTATGTGTCGACGACTCATCGTCATATCCTCTTTCTCTGAGGTCGATGTGAACTGATAATTCCTATTGTAGCATTCTCTTCAAGCGCGGTCACTCTGGTTCTCGTGACTGCTGGGATCCATATACATGATGCCCATTTGGGCGTCTAGACTTATATCACAGACCACTATATACAGCTCTTGATCGCCAATCTTATCATCTCTTACACATTCTCAATGTACGTCTATATCCGCCGCTTTAATGTGAAGATGAATTCCCCAACCGACACCTGCGAAGGGTGGCCATTGGCGGGAGTACGGGGCATATAGTCTTTTATTCCATATCGGTCGCGAGCTGAACCCCGGCATCACTGCTCTATTCTTCGGTGGGATCGGCTGGATGGCCGTCTAGTGGTGCAGGTTCCAACCACTGGCTGGGGCATAATGTTCACCTACCTCTATGTTATTTACTTCTGAATTCTTCTGGTCCACCGCGAACATCGAGGTGATGCCATCGGCGCGAAGAAGTATGGAGGCGACTGAAAAGAGTACAAGTGCTGAGTCCGGTGGAGGATCGTGCTGTGGGTTTCTTGGCTGGGTCGAGGGTGAGGATGACTAAATAGATTATGTAGGTTCTATTGTACTGAAAGAGCCGGTGCACACTTCGCTGCCAGCTCGATGGCGCTTCTCTCGTGGGAATAGACACTCTCTTGGATGGTTTTAGAGGTCCAAAGATGAGCAGGGAAGGGGTGAGGGATTAGTGAGGATCTTGGGGCGCACACCAAGCACTCAAGCAAAAGATCTATATCACATCTACACAAATCGACCACGTACCTTCGCACAAACCATCGCCATACCAATACCTTACAACTGCTGCGCTTTGACCACTGCAGCCTTGTGCCTCATTTCTAGACTCAACACCATGCCACATAAGGATGCTAGTGCAGGCTTACTTACTCTAGCCGATATTACCATTGATCCACCGACACTAAGTCACTTGGAGCCATACTTACCTCTCGACTTCACCAATCAGACCCCAATTGGGAGCACTAATAATCATGGAGTAAGGGTCAATCAGTTGATTGACTTATCGGTCGTCAGTGCTGCATATGAGAGATAAATAATGAGTCCCGCGACCCCGCAGTTACATCATGCGTTCTGCATAATATACACATCAGCATCAACAACAACAATCCCTTCACCCCGCCCAACATCCTGACCACAGCTGCAAGTCCCCCTTATCCAAAACAAAATGGCTCTCGCATACAGCGGCATTCCTTCCGGAGCCAAGGTCCCTCCCAAGCCTTACCAGCTTCAGATCACCGACGCCCAGATCGAAGAGCTCCTCGTGCTGGTCAAGCTGTCCAAGGTCGCCCCGCCCACCTACGAAAGCTCGCAGGAAGATCGCAAATATGGTATCACTCGAGACTGGCTCCTGGAAGCACGACAGGCGTGGAAAAGCTTCGACTGGTAAATGTTTCCCTCCCAAGTCTTACCCCGGTATATCGACTCCCGCTAATCACCAAGGAGGGCCAAAGGCGACCTACAGAGCAGCGCATCAACAGCTTTCCGCAGTTCACCTACGAGATCGAGGACATGACCATCCACTTTGTCGGTCTCTTCTCGAAGAAAGCTGATGCGATCCCTATCGTCCTACTGCACGGCTGGCCCGGTAGCTTCCTGGAGTTCCTGCCCCTTTTGTCTCTCCTAAGAGACAAGTACTCCCCGGAGGAGCTTCCGTATCACGTCGTGGTACCGTCTCTTCCAGGCTTTACGCTGTCCTCCGGGCCCCCTCTGGACCGGGACTTCACGGGACAGGACACGGCCAGGGTCATCAATCAGGTGATGGTCAACCTCGGGTTCGAGGGGGGATATGTGGCACAGGGGGGTGATATTGGGTCGAGGATTGGTCGGATCATGGCGGTGGATTACGATGCTTGCAAAGGTATGTCTCTTTGGGTCCTGTGTTTCCCTCGGTGTGAAGTCAAAGTACGGCTTACTGATTTGACTGGGCAGCGGTTCATTGTAAGTTCCTACCAGTACTACCAGTGTGACAGGAGGGGCTGGGTCCACGGTCTAACGCGGAAGAACAACCCCTTCCAGTGAACGCATGCTATATGGGCAAACCCGCCCACGTGCAGGATTCGTCCATCTCCGAGTTCGAGAAACAGAACCTGGCGCGCGGGGAGTGGTTCATGACCTACGGTGCCGCCTACGGCTTCGAGCATGGCAGTCGGCCCAGCACCATCGGGAACGTCCTTTCAGCGAACCCGGTTGCTTTGCTTGCTTGGTGAGTTTCTGCTCCTCGGTACACGGCTTGCTGTGGTTGTTTACTACCCCTACTTCATGGAAAGCTTATCGGCGGATAATTAGGGTTGGAGAAAAGTTCCTCGACTGGCCCGACGGCCCCCTCCCTCTGAATGATATCCTCGAGTCGGTGTCGTTGTATTGGCTCACCGAGTCGTTCCCTCGGTGCATCTACCATTATCGCGAGGTATGTCGTAGCTTGTTCTTGGGGGTTGCCCCCTCCCTCCGTTCCTTTTTGTGTAGTAACACCGCGCGCAGCAAGTCCCCATGCCTAAGCTTCAGCTCGCCGAGGACCCTAGGTGGTACATCAAAAAACCGTTTGGGTTCTCTTACTTCCCTAAAGAGCTGATGCCAGTCCCGCGGGCGTGGATCGAAACGACTGGGAACTTGGTGTTCTGGAACACGCATGAGAAGGTTGGTCCATCCTCCTCATTTGGTTTGATGCTATAGGTAGTCATCCAACTAACCGTTACGATAGGGAGGACATTTCGCCGCGCTCGAACGGCCGGCGGATCTCCTGGAGGATCTGACTGCGTTCGTGGAGAAGGTGCGGACTGATATCCAGTGATCCATGTGGTCGATCTGCTGCTCGGTTGTGTTCCTGAGGCCGAGGGACCTCGTCGTATATGCAGACACCCATATTGTGTTTCGTCAGCCCTGTGGCATGGAGTATTGCACATACAGTATACAAGTCTTTGACTCCAATGTAGTCCCACCTCACCCGAGGAAGTATCAACATACAAACCATAGACAATGTTCCTCCACCCTATCTCAGCAGTGACAAAGTCCCCTTCTTCTGCACTATACCTACGGTAAATACTACACAGCACAGTACATCAAGCCCACGCTGCCTTCCTTCACGGCCCACCCGCCTCAAACGCCACCTTTCTTACTCGTACACTTCTCGAGCAAATACAATCCTTGCTATTAACTACCAGTACGGAACCGAGCCCTTCCCCACCCACCAGACAGAGGACCAAAAGCATAACTTACGCAACGGTCCCCCTCTGAGTAGCCCCCGTCCAGCACCACCACATCAGCCGGCATTAGCTCTGCATATCACCTGCATGGTGCTCCCGAATCGGAGCTCCAGGTCTTGGTTTTGGTTTTGTGTGTGTTCCCGCTGTTCTAGATGGGCGGAGGATTCAAGGATTCATTCTATCCATGATCTTGGATGAGGGGTTGGGCTGCCCTGTGCCTTGTTTGGATGGAAGGTTTGAGGACGGTGAGGGTGGTGATTGGTGGTGTCGGGGGATAAAAGTACCTGTATTTCCATCCTGGTGAGGGATTGAGGGGTTCACGGTGTTTGTTTGTTTGTTTGGTGCAGTGGTGTTTTGGATGGTCCAGTCTGTTTGGAGGAAGGGGGTTTGAGTTTCGGGAGGTATGTACTGTTGTGTGCGTGTGAGGGCTTGGTTTGGAAATTGGGTGAGGGGGCTTTTCATTTGGTTTGGTGCTTGCTCATGCTTGGGACGTTTTATTTGGTTGTTTGTGGTTCTAAGGTGGTTTGTATGAGTAGGTGGAGTTCGTTGCTTTGAGTCCCTGGTTATCTCGCGGGCGAGATGTACGGCTACAGTAGGATGGAATATATATTGCATTCACAGCTGTGTACCAATCTCCCAGTCTAGAACCGGGACGGGTGCAAGCTGAGTTTACTCTGTGCTCTGCCAGCCTGCTCTACATCCCATCTCGATGGATGCATCTAACCAACCACAAGCTATTCGCCCGCTGCTGCGATGTCGGTTGATACCAGGTTATAATCAAGTCACCAACCCTGTAGGGCACTGCGGGGTTTCTGTGGAATGCCTGAGACTTTGTTTCTGCCTCAGGCCCACGACACAAGAAAATCCCTGTAGGCTGTAACTAACCAACCGCAAGCCTTGCAGCCTTGCAGCCTGCTGCAACCTCGCAGTGCACCTGGCAGCCTGGCCGGTCGGTTCCAACATGGGCCCCGCGCGAATAACCCCGCGCGTCATTGGGTTCTGCGCCTTTGGCTCCACTCTTTTGTGTGCGTGTGGTGCTTTTTTCCAGTCGGAGACGGAGTCTTAACCTCTCTGGGTTTCTTTAGTCAGGTCAGGGCTGGCTGGGGCAAAAGTTGTCCAGCCGGCCCGCTCACGTAGGACAAATCCTGCGGAAAAAAAAAAAGTGAGAGGCCGGTCGGTCGGTCACTTGCCAATCACGCTTTGCTTGCTTTGCTCCCCCACACAGCGCGCCCCTCTCCCCTCTCTTCTTTCTTTCTTTACTGATTTCATGGATGTTCTTTTGCCCCTCAGCCACTCACGCCATGACTTGGGCCCTGTGGGTATTGAAGGTCATGGGGCTTAGGAAAGTTGATCTTCTGTTTAGGTCTAAGTTGTCTTTCCATGTAAGGGTAAGGGTAAAGAAGGCTGTACACATTCAGATACCGTTTTTTTTTGTGTTTGCTGAGGGCAGACTATTCTTAGTTAGTTAGCCTCGTTTCTATCGACATCTGCATCCGACAAGGACACGAGGCGAGGCTGAAGTCACCTTAATTGCGCTACCTAGTATACCTCGGAACCTCGGCGAGAAGTAATGACGATGATGACGATGATAGCTTCATACTCGAACTCAGAGTCAGGAAGTATGGGGTAACAGACCCAGAACCCAGAAGATTCTAGTAACCATCTGTGTTGTCTGTGCTTGACATTTTGTCGAACCAAAGTACTCCGTATTGTACCTACAGTAAATTGATTGCATGCTTACTTGCTTCGTAAACTCTTTAGATATGCATGCATGAGATGAATGGACAGGCTCTGTCTAGCCTTGTCCGATGCGCTTTCCCTGATAATAATTGCTTTTTTTGCTTTTTGCTTTGTGGGGGTCTGTTCCAGTAGAATCGGATTGATTAGTACGGAGGGTACGGAGTAAGAGAAGGGGGATGGGAGGGGAGTGCAGCACAGGACGTGAGTTTTTAGCACTTCCGCGGCATTCCGCTGGGGAGGGGGTTCGTTCTGTTGTATCACTTGATGGGAGGGTTTCTTTTGTTGGATTGTAGATTGTGTCTTGTTGAAGATCAAGTTGAGTATACGGCTGGAGTGATCGGAGTATGTACAGAGACTCTGTTGAACATGGATAAGAAGAGGCACATAGCCTGACCTGACGGATTCTGGATAACGGATATCCGGATATAGATCTCATGGTCAGGACCTCCGATACGACGACAAAGCAGTAATCATACAACCCGCGCAGGCGGCGGCGGGCGGAGACTTTCCGGAGTAAGTGTTGGGCCGGAAAAAGGGGAGGGAGCTGTTGCCTGGCTGCCTGGGGCTGAGCCTAAGGGATCAGGAAGGTTCCCTAATCGGACCGACTGGAGGGGGGCGGAGAGAGGTTTCACAGCCAGTTGTTCTGGTCGGGAGGTGCAACTTCTAATGCAGCAAGACATGTGGATAGTGGATAGTGGATAGAAGGAGGTTTTCAGCATGGCCTACCTATACAGTGTACGGGCTGTGCTATGTACGTAGTTAGTAGGTGACTAAGATGTGAGGGCGTATGCTCGTGGACTGACCCCCAAATAAAGACCTTTTTTGTTCCATCCTCTTCTCCCTACTGGGTGACGCCTCCTTCGAGGGGAAAGGAGGAGGATGGTAAATTTAGGGCAGAGATCTCGCCATGTTTGGGAGTGTGTGGCATGTACGTGTCACTGCCTCACCCGTACGAGTTTTCTTTTATGGTGGCGTGGCTGGCAAATAATCCGTCCGCGGTGGTTGGCTGACTGACCAAGTAGTCCCGAAGTTTTCTGCTTTCCCTTTCCCTTGGGTCGTCGAACGAAACCGGCAGCCCGCCCTCTTGATTTTTGAACGAGTGGGTGGATGGAGAACTCCGAATGCACAAACTTGTACCGTGAACAAAAGTAAGGTGACCAATGTAGCATCATAAGTAACTTAAAATGTCACTTTCTGAGTTGTGATAAACTAGCTTCGGCGGATGGGGGGCCTAGTGAGCCAACTGGCTTTCGGCTGATTTATCCCTGAGCAATACCGCCCGCCTGCTATGGGGCATAGACGTCAACGCGATGGGCTCGTCGCGTTTTGAATGGACCACTGTACGTTGCTCCCGGCTCTTATATAGTAGTCTGCTTAGCAAAGTTCGTCGCTTAACTACTGGGTACTTGCTGATAATGCATAATATGTAACTAGTTTGATGGCCGATGTCGCTCTCAAAGAATAAGGAGCTGGTTGGCAGTGCTGCGTGGCTTTTTTTTCTCGCTCTTTTCTTCCCGACGGGGTAGGACAACAGTCATCGTCATAAGCACCTAGATAGATAACTAGCCCACTCCCTATCGATAGAAGAGAAAGGAACTGATAGAGAACTGAACTACCGGAGTCCGGGGATGGTTGGGCGGTCCGATGATAGCACACTAGCTCAAGATAGGGTAGCGAACGAATTCAACCACCATTGCCAACTTTGCTAAGGTGGTGGTTATCATTGAACGGATGGCTGAGTGACTCCACCAGGCCGGAGAGATGGGGGTTGGGTCTGTCGTGGATTCTTAGTCATGCCGATACCACCCCATCCATTTCACAAACATGGGATGGAATCCAGAAAGTGCCGGGGGGGAGGGAAGGGGGGGGGGGTTCGTAATAGGTTTGTTCGACCATGGTCATCCTGCCATCCATCGAAGGAAAAGAAGGGACATCGAAGAGGGGGAAGGGGAGGGGAAACATTTGTCTTTGCCTCCGCTGGATGAATAATAGAATAATAATCAGCAATGATGATGAGCAAAAGGATCATGAACTACGGGATCATCGGGGAGATTTACGAGTACTTGGGCAGTTGCTTAGGTTATCCTCGTTAGTTAAGTTAGTAGTGAACTTAGCTAATGCAGACTGAATAAGTCAGTCTACCTAGTAACTAGTTATTGAGTATCATCAGTCACGAACAAATAAGCATCAGCAAATGACTTAGTGTAATGCCCAAGTCGGGCCCCTTCTAGTCGTTGAGCCTGGTGCAGTGTGGAGAGTGTATTAAGTAGGACTGGACCAGGCCCAGTTATCGTGCGGGAACAGCCACAGAAGAGTCATCGCCCTCCCTCCTCCTCGTCCTCCTCCTCCACTCGATATCCGCTCCCGTCCAGTTCCCGATCCCTCTACTGCTACTGCTACTTTCCCCTTCTACTCCTGCCTTCCCACTCGACTCACTCGACTCACTCACCTCGACTCTCATCATCATCTTCTTCTTCTTCTTCCTCTTCCCCGTGCCTCTCTTCTCCTTTCCTTGTCTTCTCTATTCCCTTCCCTCCTCCCCCCACACTCCCCTCTCCCCTCTCCCCTTTTTATTGTTCATTCCCCTTTTAGGAAGAGAGTAGTAGCCAAAGTTCACTGTTTTTCTTTCTTCTGTACTGGATTTTGGTGGTCTGATTATCCCTTGTTTTGTTTCCCCCGTTGTTTCTTTCTCTCCGCTCTTAAACTCGCCCTGAAGAAAAGCGGTCCCTGCGTCCGCTCGACTCACACCCACACCCACCAAAGTCCCGCCACTCTCGCCACTCTCGCCCGCGGTGAGTAACCACCCTTTCCATTTTTACTCGAATAGTCTGTCTGGTCTTCTTGTTTTCCCTCCTCCCGGTGTGTGTTGCCATTTTGCCTCCCTGCCTGATTTCAGGTTGCCATCTCAACCTGAATCATTTTTAGTGTGGCTAGTCTGGCAACTGGATCGCCCCCAAGTTAGTCACTATTGTCAGTTTGTCAGTTTGTCAGTCTGTCTTGTGCTCCGCCCGCCGCCTCTCAACAGTCACCCGGACAGGAGAAAGCCTAAAGCCTTCTTCGGTTCCTTGCCTAGTGAGATCCGGAGTAAGAGTCATCATAAAACTGCGCGCACACACACTCATATCTACACAACGCCTCCCGAAATATTAAAAAAAGAAGATTAGTTATCTGACTTGATCGTTGCTGACTCGATCCCTTTTCGCCTTCAGCCTATTTGAGCCTCACCAACTACCAACTCCTCCACCGCGCTATTCCTCTTATCCGATAGACCGTTGACTGCCTGAACAAGCGCCGCTGCATACAGTAGCCGCCTGCTTGTTTGTGACAGTTCGCCGTTCTATCGGCCCTTGATATACTACACCCCATACCTCAAGATGTACCCTGTTGTTTCGAAATCTCTTGTTCCGATCGCCCGTGTTGCTGCTTCCTTGGTCTCAGATATCCGAATCTCTGGCAAGATCGCTTCTATCTAAAGTGCTCTTTGACATAAACGGCATCTGTCACCCGAAAGAATCACGTTGTCATCCTACGTGTCTCTTTTGTTGCGCAATATTCGGCTTGATATCTCCGGAAACTCTACACCCGGTGATCGGAACAGTAGACGGTGAATAACACGTTACTCACTGCCTACCTAACTCTCGTCTTCTTCGCACCCAACCTCGCTACCTCTCTTCCACTAGCTATCTACCCACGTCTGTGGTGGATGGTTATTGTCGCCTTCCCCTGACTCACACCTCAATTCACTTTCGACTTATACACCACACTGGCGATTCTTCGCTACTAAGGGTTTGCCGTCGCCTGCTCATAAAAAGACGGCTTTCTGTCCCACGGCTACTCGTTTACGGTCTACAGCATAACGGTTACTTGATAATCCCGGTACAAATTTAAACGCACACTTCTTGGCCATCTCCGCGGCTCCTCAGCAGTTGAGAAGTCTAGCAACAGGTTGCCAGCCTTCTGGATGACCATTTGAGGTACTTCGAATCTTTTTCTATCTGTTAAAAGTATTCAAGGTCTCTCGACTGGACATCATCCCGGATATGTCAGGGATTGACGTTTTGGGTTTGAAGGATCCAAACCCGAACACTCAAATTAGAGCAGCCTATGCGCACCCCTACGCATCGACGGCCTCTTCCTCCGCCTCTTCCTCTACCTCCTCGGTCTTCTCGCTGGACGGCGTGCCTACCCAAAGCTCGGTTTCCTCCGCTGCCACGCTGCCGGTGGATGTGATCTGGGAGAATGAAGGGGAATACGCGGCTGGAGGAAGGGGCCTCCCGGTGGTGGGAGCACGTGGTTGCTTAAGGGGAAACGCTCCCCGAGTTGCCGAGTCGGCCGTTGTCCCGCCCGAGTTGCGTAAGCATCCCCGGCGGACCAACAGCGCCACTCAGGCGAACGGCGCATCATGCACGCGGCCTCCGCCCTGTCTTTTGAGACAGTCGGAGCGGAAGGTGAACTTCGTCGATAACCTTGTCGGTAAGTTGTGGAGAGATTCCTGGACACGTTGGTCGAAAAAGTATCGGAGCTAAGAACTACCCCATGAAGATACCGCGTCGCAGATCGTCGAGGCCATTTGGCCACTATCCGCAGTGTCGCTCCGGAGTGATTCGGCGACTGGTTGCAAAGGCGTGCTGCCCCTCCGCACTTTCATCCAAGAGACACTCCGTCGCTCGCGCACTAGCTACAGCACGTTGCAGGTGGCTTTGTACTACTTGATCAAGATCAAGTCGCACGTGCCCAGCCACGATCTGACGCAAGACCAATCCCGAGGCAAGTCCGCTTGTCGGGCTATGCAATGCGGGCGGCGCATGTTCTTGGCGGCTTTGATTCTCGCCTCGAAATACCTTCAGGACCGCAACTACTCCGCTCGTGCCTGGAGCAAGATCTCCGGCTTGAATACTGCCGAGATCAACCAGAATGAGCTCATGTTCCTCGAAGCAGTTAACTGGCGACTTCACATCCCCGAGTCACTGTTTCAAAGGTGGACTGACATCGTGCTGCGCTTCACCCCAGGCGCAAGCAGCATGCCGGTCGATGATGGCCAGTGCTGGCGCACGATCATTCCCAAGCTCACCCCCGACTTGGACGACTTGGACGCCAGCCCCGCGACGCCCTCGAGCATGGGAGCCTTCGACTCCTATTCCGTGGCAGAATCGCCATCTCCCCGCGGCACCTCGATCCGGAGGGAGTTGCCCAGGCTTCCCACGAATGACTCTGTTACTCTGCCTCCATTGGCTCTGGAATCGATGGTCCAACGGGAGAACTCCCTGCCGTCCCTTCCACCCCTGCCACAGCCTCAGATGCTGCCGACCCCCCAGATGACCCCCCAGTCGAGCATCGCCTCCACTCCTGCAGTGAGTGCTGGCGGTATGGCTGCTCATCGGCGTTACATGCAAGCTGCTATGTCGCAGGTACAAGGTATGTGCACGGCGCGGTCGGTCTACGACCAGCGCCCGCCGCTATCGCTTTGTCCCAAGCCTAGCACGTTTGATGGCTACCCTAGCCTCGTACGCCGGTCTTCCTTGGCTCGCTCGGCTTCTTCCACCTCGTCTCCGGATTCGATGGTGTCGGATGTGTCGACTCTGTCCTCACAGTCCTCGCGGTCGTCTTCCATGTCGTCGTGCTCCTCGGTCACTGGGGCATCGATGCCTCGTCTGGCCGTGCAGGCTACGCTCCGCTGCACTGGCAATTCTCTGAAGGAGGGCCGAAAGAACCTGGCCATCGTGTCTCCCCCGGATGAAGTTTCGCTTGGTCCGGTCTACAGTTCCCCGGAGAGCTACCCTGGCCCTATCGGTCAAGTTCCGGATCTCTCCGGCTACTCTATGGAGCACCCGATTGATCTGACGTCCACGCATGAGGCGGCCCAAAGCCTGTGTGAACTGTCTGGCGCGACTTCCCGTCAGCACAAACCCACGGGCCAAGGCCGTAAGCGCGGTCGCACTGGATCGGAGGATATGCTCCTGCAGAGCCATGTGCGTCAGTTAGCCAAGGCTAGCGCACAGGCCGAGCGGCCTGTGCTCCATGATGGCAGCGTGGCGGATGTGCTGATGGGATCTGGACCTGGCTCTGCGCCGGCACTCACACGGCATCAGTTGAATGCTTTGAACTACCCGGCGCCGCTGTCCGGTCCGGCCGGCATGAAACGGGCCTGCTGTGGTAGCGAAGCCCGGAAGGTTGCACTTCACCCGAGCATGCGGGCAGACTATTTGGGTTGAACTCGGTGCCTTCATTCCTTCACTGCCAGCCCCGCTCTTGGGGGGCACTCTTTACAAATCAGCTACTGCTTAATCCTATTCTGATTGACTTTTCTGAGCTCGTCGAACGAGTGACTCTCTTTGTGTACTCGCAGCACAGCAGCGGAAGACGCATTCTGGGAAGGGAAAAGTTTTGTGCGAACTTTTTTCATTCGTGCGCGTTCTTAAGGGGAAAACAAAAGTGATGATCTTTGTAAATACCCTCCAGCTGGTTTTCCGACTCTGTGGAGTCTTGTTCCCTTTTCTTTGTCTGGCTGCGGCTTTGCGGTCACTCTTGTACTATGTACGTTGGGGAGGTCTTCGTCTGCACACTTTCCATTTCTTGTCCACATTTATTACCACCTACCTATTGACCTATCGTTATTTTGTTTTTACGGGACTGGAGTGTGATGGGAAGGGCCTGGGGTTTTTTTTTTCTGTTATTGGCTGCTTGCGGGTGCACATCATCATATCGGGAGGGGCTGCACATTTTACCTCGCACCCTGCGGAGTTGAGTCGGATACTCTTTGATAGTTAGAAGCATGAGAGTCGATTGGCTCTTTGACGATGACCAATACTATGTGTTATCAAGCCTTTGTCTGGTGTAGATTGCCTGATTTGCCGCCACCCAACTATTCGTAGTCTGCCTAGCCCTGAGTTCACTCTGTCCCAGCGCAAGGAACCAGGTCAGGTGAGGGAGCCTGCGGGCGCCGGTATGACTCACCGCAAGTATGATGTTGGAAATGTGGATGAACTGGTCAGGCGGGGGTGATCCATATGTTTAGACGGTGGCCAGTGGCCCAGAGGTCAGGGGCGTTTGCTTGGGTCTTGTTGCGTTGGTTCACCGGGGAGACGCTAGTTGGCACTAGTGACTCATTGTTGCCGGCCTATGCCCAGTGCCCGCCCAGCAACGCCTGAGGCAGAGATCCGGAAGGGACCGGATCAGGCAGCGAGGTCGGACGAGCCCGGAAGGTCATTCACCGGTCCACCGGTCAGACTCGGTCACATGCTGCAAGCACCAGATGGAGCGAAGTGGGACGACAAGTCGGGTCTAGCGGGATCAGATAAGATCAGATGGTATGTATGGTCCATTCTTCCCCTCATCTGGCGTCACCTCGGTTCATCCATTCCAGTTTCATCCACAACACTCTCGAGTCCACAACTTATCTCTTAACAAGCTCTCGCTCTTCCTCTGTCTGCCTGTGAAGAGTGCCGAGAACCCTCCGCAAAGATGGCCCCCGCGACCGCCATAACCCTCTATTCCACCCTCGCCCTCCTCTGCACCACCGCTTTCCTGAACGTCGGCGGCGCTTCACCGGTCCTCGACCCCGTGTCCTCGACACAGCACCTCCTGCAGCCCGAGCCCGAGCTCGAGCTGAAGCCAGACCATCAAGACCCAGCGTCCTACCCCCTCCACCCCATCACCGATTCCCCCTCCCTCTCCCCTCCCTCCTCCTCCTTTGAGGAGGAGGAGGAGGAAGCATACAAAGCCCCCAGCTGGTTCGAATCCACCCTCCTCGCCCGTCGTCTCCTCGCTCTCTCCCCCACCGGCACTACCTCGACCATCTTCCCCTCCCCCCTCCCCGCCAACAGCCGCGCCTACGCCCACATCCCCGCGGATGTCGCCGGCCACTCCATCAGCCTGACCGAGTACCTGTCCGACTGCGAGCACGCGCTTTCCCCCGCCACCTCATCATCATCATCATCCACAGAAGGCGAGAGCGAAGACGAAAGCGAAGGCAACCCGATCTTCCTCGCCCTCACCATCGCCACGACCTTCCGCAACACGGCGCACGGGTCGAACCTGTCCCTGTCCCTGTCGTGGTGGGACCACGTCAACCGCACCGAGCCCGTGTTCCCCGGGTTTCCGCTCAGTCCCGCGGGGTTGCCCCGCGTCACGCTCTTGGGGTATGTGGAGGCGATTGATTTCGAGGCGGTGGCCCGTTCGACTGGTCGGGCCGAGGGGGCGGGCGAGGTGGAGGCGCGGCTGACGGAGTGCTATCTGCGGGCGCATCCGGATGCGAAGGCGTGGTTGCCGGGCCGGAAGGGGGCGCCGCATGAGAGCTTCTGGGCGCGGTTGGTGGTGGAGCAGGTTTATTGGGTCGGGGGGTTTGGCGGGCTGCAGCAGATTGGGTGGGCGAATCTGTCGGAGTGGAGGGGCATTGGGCGGTGGGGGTCGGCGGGGGATTTGGGGGATGGGAGTCGGAGGGGGTGGGAGGGGGTGCGGTTGCCTGGGGAGGATGAGTAGGGGGGGGGGGGGGGGGGGGGGGGGGGGGGGGGGGGGGGGGGGGGGGGGGGGGGTGGGGGGGGGGGGGGGGGGGGGGGGGGGGGGGGTTTCGTGGTTTAGAGGGTTATGGTGAGAGATCTATCGTTATAGCTCATTTCTGTCGTCGTGGTCGATTTGAGGTATTTCTTATTATCTTTTTATTGGGAGTACTCGCGACTATGCATCCATATACCGTCAAAGGAGAATTGATAGGACGGGCATCATGAGAAACTACCATATCTCTCCCCCTATACTATGTAAATTCACCGGGTATATATCCCAACCTCTAACCTATAACTTACACAGCCCTCCCGGGTATCGGAAAATCACCTCCTCACCCCGCCCCCAACCGCACCCCCAGCTCCAGCTCCCGCTCCAGAGCCATGCCCATGCACCACACAGAGCAAATACTTCCGATCCGGCACCACCACAATCTCATGCTTCCTCGTCCGCAACCGCAACAACTTCACCTCATCCCCTTCCTCTTCCTCCTCGTCGCGCTCCCCTTCCCCTTGTTCATGCCCTTGCCCTTGCCCTTGCCCAATACCATGCCCAGTCCTAAAGTCCCCGCTTCGATTCCCAGCTTCCACCCCACCCCCAAGCTGCTGCCTACCACCACCACCACCACCAGCCCCGTCAGAGGTCGGATCAGCCAACACGGCACTGAGGTCGGCCGCACTCGTCACGTATGCGAAGATATGCGCGGCGAGGGTCTCGGCGGGCGAGGGGGTGTATTTCTCTTGCTGTTGCTCTTGGGCTGGCGCTTGTTCTTGCTCTTGTTGCGCCGCCGCCGATTCCTTGGTTCGGATTGGGAGAGTGGTCACTTGTGGGGTTTGCGGGGTGGTGGGGTCGGGGCTGGCGATGGGGAATGTGTCTTTGTCTGTGTTCGTGGGGGGTTCGTCCGGTTGTTCGGCTTCTGCTGCGCTGTCTTCCTCTGTAGCTGGGACAGTCGGGGGGAGGACGGTTTCTGTGGCGTCAGGGGTTGTCGGGTTGGTGGACTGTTCTTGTACTCCTTCTTGTTGTTGGTCGGGGTGCGGGGCTGTAGGAGCAGGACCAGAACCAGAACCAGAAACAGGGACAGTGTTCGGGTTTGGGAGGGTAGCTGGGGCTGTAGCTGGCGACGGCGACGGCGATGAGGCTGGGTTGGAGATAGGTGCTGGTGTAGGTGTAGGTGTAGGTCTGCTCGGGCGACGGGTCGTCGGCGAAAAGGCGTATAACCCCGTGCTCTGAATAATGGAGCCGTCTTTGCGGGAGAGGATGAAGGTGGATTGCACGCCGGGGCGCGAGGTGAGATGCGAGAGGAGGGCGGTGACGTGATGGGGGATTTGCGGGGACTGAATCAATAAGCCTGGGTTAGCTTCATCATCGTCTTTATGATAGCGTGGAGCGAGAGGATATCGGCTTGGGAGACCTACGGTTGAGGTGGTGGTCGCCATATTTCTTGTTGGCCGCGGAGCCGGCGCGGTGGGGGTTGAGGAGATGGTAGAGGAGGGGAGTGTTAAAGGGAGGGATTTGGCTGGAGATGAAGCATGTCCTGCCTGAACAAGGGACTGTCTGGTAAGCGGGATGGGGTGGAAGCTTTGTGGAGGGGCAAATTTCAGCTGTGAGCTGTGAGCTGTGCTGTTTGCTGATTGCTGTTTATGGCGGTGTTGTTTTGCTGCTCCCGTCTACATGCTGACTCATCAGGGGCCTCAACTTAGTTAACTAAGTTACCTTAACTACACTATAACTTACTATGCAAACAATCTCCTATCTAGTCAAAAATACATGTGCAAAAACTCGATGCATTGCAGTCCATAGACTATCTTCAATGCTGCTCATAATATACAAGACCCAAAACCAAAGAAACAAAGTGGTATCGTGGAATTCAAAGGGCAAAACACAAAGGAAATCAAAGAATGACACAGCGAAGCCAAGCTGAACAGGATTGACTCAAGTCGATAGTAATACTCACAGGAAAAATTAATTAGAATAGAGCACTCAACAAGTGCACGTCACACACCATATATCATCCTGGCAGTCTCCTCCCTGCACTAAGCCTCCGACTTCTCCGACATCCAGTCCAAGTCAAAGTCCTCCATCATATCCTCGAGCTCCTGCACATTGGCACTATCATCCGTCCCATAGCTACCCCTCCGACTAGACCCTGGACTAGCAATCCAGCTCTCAGGCCGGAAGGGGGGTTTCTTGCTTCTCCTCGAGTATGACTTCCGTGCACGTGTCGACACCGAAGTACTGGTCTCCGATGAGAAAGATCTTCCCGTGCCTGGGGTTGCGGTCGCCGGCGGCGTAGTCAACCCCCCCAGCACAGTCTCCAGACTTTGCTTGGTGCCAACATCCAGCGCGGCTAAGAGAGCAGCCTGCAAGATCTTATTTTGTCGCTCGAGGTGCGTGATGCGCTCCTCGAGAGCCTCAATTATCTGGGTCGACTGCCTGGCATCTCGTGATTCCTGCGACTGGTTGGTCCTTTGGGAGTGGTAGGACTCCGGTGAGTGGCCCTCAAAGCCATGCAGTCGATAGTCTCTAGGAGTCAGTGGAATCTTATGTCCCGATAATGACTTCTTGGCAGAGCGAGGCCTGTTTGTGGCCTGTTGCTCCCTGAAAGCCAAAGGTGTCGGTCTGGAACGACGCCGCCGCCCTGCAGCTGGACGAGTCCGCCTACTAGCACCGGTGCAATCGTCATCGGACGATGGCAGCGGCGATTCAGAGCGAACCTTGAGATTTTTCTCTTTTGCCAACCTCTCTTGGGTGCTTGAGCTATGCACGCTGCCGCTTCGCTGTACTCCAATAGTCTTATTCGGCTTTGACTGCAGCTTAAGCTCTTCGGAGTAACCTTGGTCCCACTTGTTCGAAGAGGCCGAAAACTGTCGACCAGCTTGACCAGTAGAATGTCTCGCTGGGTTCATTGGCGGGGGTGAGCGCGGTGGTGGCGATGGGGGCTCCGAAGCCACTATTCGCTGATACCGTTTGTTGCAATCCGGCTGATGCTCGATGTTTCTGCGAGCGTCCGAGATATTTTCATCATCCCGAGAGGTCTCATGCTCCGGTGTCAACGCATCGGCTGGCTGTTCCTCCTCATTCCCTTCTTCAGGAGGGTCCAGGCCATTAAGATAGAGACGGCCTGTAGTCACATTGCGCTTCTTCAGGGCCATGACCCGCTCCGCACGGTTTGGGCCTGTTCGCACCAGAGTATTGGGCCCAGGCGCGTTTGGTGCAAATCCAGCTGATTCACCATTGATCTCACCATTTATCTCAATATCATTCTCAGCAGTTGACCGTTTGCCCACTAGCATCAATCTTGTAGAGGATGCGGGCTGGGCGGACGTTGTCCGCTCGTGGACAGTAACAGCAGGACCCAGTTCAGGTAATGATGGCAGAGGTCTCATGGGTGCTGGAATGGGGAATGCATCGATGGCGCACATTGGCAAGGAGGAAGGCCGCCGGCAGCTTTTCTTCGGCGGCTCGCTCTTCGAGCTGTCTGTGCCTTCTTTTCCTTGCGGTTCTCCTGATGTCCCCTTGTTCTGATTATCTGGAGCGGTGCTAGGCTGTCGCTCTGTGGACGTAGAATCTGCTTCTAATTTAGTACATTCGCTCACTGGCTCAATCATAGCACGTTGAGCAGGTGCAAGAGGGAGGGCTCCGCCGGGCGCTGCTGGACGGCCACCTGATATGCGCCACGCTCCTTTACTAGATACTCGCGGAGGTAGCGTATCGGGGAACAGTTTCAATGTTGGAGGAGGTTGAGTTTGAGTGCTCTGTGTACTAGCTAACACTGGTCCAGATGCCGAAGCCTTGGATTCTGTGCTAGATCGACGGGAATCTGCACTCTGGCCCTTCGTGGGTTGAGACTATTGAAAGTTAGCTTTGTCCTGCGTTCAAAACCTGCTGCTCCTCACGCAGCCGATCTCGGGGCAGCGTTATCCCTACAGGTGCATCTGTATCCGGCCTACTGGCCGCAGTATCCCCTTCTTCTATACCTTCCATGCGACGAGTGTTCTGGTCCGATGGCGGATTTAACGTGCTAGTCCGATTCTCATTTGGCCTCGAAGCACTCTGCTCCGAGATTTCGACTGGCCGATAAGGGGGTGGGTCGATATCGTCTGGCTGCGCGGGGCATGACACGGCCGCTTCCACCATCGAGGTTAATTCTCGGAGATCGAGCGAAGAAGGGTGGCTGGCTTGGGTATCAGGCTTGTCTTTCTTTTGCAGTGGGTCACTCAGCCAGGGCTGTCCAATGCTTTCAACGTCTCTGCGGGAACTGGACTTGAAGCTGAGATTCGAGATGGATCTGTACGAGGAACGGCTGGAGTCTAAGCTTTGCTTGTGGGATGATCGCTTGGGTGCAAGCTTGGGTGATAGGGCAACATGCGACGGCAGGAATCCCCCTTCCTGGAGCGCCATCAGCTGACGAGCCGTCTCTTCAGCTTTGGATTTGGGGTCGAGGTTCTTCCGTGGGCGTTGAGCAAGTTGTCGGAGACGTCTTTGACCGGCTCGGAATATATCGCGAGCCCCCGTCGACTGCGGGGCCCCGCTTGGGGTCTCGATATACTTCAGGAAGTCGGTCATTTGATCACTCTTCGAATCGGATAGCATCAAAGCCGGGCTCTCTGCCCGAACCTCTTGTGAGAGGGGAGACATGGTGTAGCGTCCCGTGCGGGATGTGCTGGAGCTCGATCGGCAGGTTGGGACAATCGGGCTCGGTGCAACTAGGCTGTCATATGACTTGGTCCTCCGTTGCATGGGAACCGCAGCTGGCTACCAGCTGCTCGAATGGCCACGGAATCTTGCACAAGAATCAGGCACGGTCAGCATTGAGTATGGCAGAATGACGAGACCAATGAGCGTGACAAGGTGATCAACAAGAAGGTTCAATTGAGTCAAGAAATCTGACGCAGGGCAGCGGCTCGGTGTCTAGGCAGGTGTGATGCACTGACAAAGCTAGTCAACTGGGGTAATGAGCGTGTGGGACGAAAGACTAAAAC